TGGTGGCGCAGTGGTTGAGAGTCCGCCTGCCGATGCAGGGGATATGGGTTCGTGCCCCGGTCCAGGAAGATCCCACATGCCGCGGAGCGGCTGGGCCCGTAAGCCATAGCCGCTGACCCTGCGCATCCAGAGCCTGTGCTCTGCAATGGGAGAGGCCACAACAGTGAGAGGCCTGCGTACCGCAAAGAAGTGGGCCTGATTTTCAGCAGTTGTTGGTGGGCTCTCCCTCCCCCTCCAAGTCACCCTGTGTGAGCTTTATGCCTGTTAGGTGATAGGTAGGAGCCAAGAGTCCACTTTTCCTCCCAAAACCTGTTCTCCAAGCTCTGGATTGCTCCGGAGTTATTCTTCTTATATAGCTTTGGCTGAGCTGAGACTCTGCTTTGTGCAAGGGTCCTCACACAGATTTTCAAAGAAATTCCATTAGCTCTTTGAGGTTTAACTGCTTCATGACCCGCAAGCCCTGGAGGAGCCTTTAAACTAGTCTCAGTACATCTTCATACCAATCACCTTTCTCCACCGCCACCACGACTTCAAAATCATTTCCTTCAGAAAGTTGGAATTCTATGCTTCTGCCAAAGGAAGGAGACAGAGGGATCCTGACTGCTTCCCATCTCACGGGGGTGAATGTGAGCCCAGGCGGAATCCACATCTGTCTTTCACCATGACCGTGGTCTTCTGTGCACCTGGCCAATGAGGCAGGTGCCACAACACTGGGCCCAAGGAGGACACCCTTCAGCCTGTCTTTTTGCATGGGCAGATACCCACTGCTTGCTGCCTGTGTCCTACCCCAGGAACTCTATTCTGCTCAAGTTAAGAAGTCCTCCTGGGCCATTTTGCCTTTCGGGTTGGAGACATCATCAATGAGCAATGTTGCAGGCTCAGAAAGGTTGCTCTTTGGTTGGTCCACTGTGCGACAGCCAGGACCTAGGATTTGTGGATCGATGGAGTGCTCAGGGTGGCAAAGTTTATGAGCAACGTGTTGTGATGGGGAAGACACCCTTGTTTTGGAAGAAAATTGTCATTCTACAGAGAGCAACGCCTCAAGGATGCCTGGCAATTGGGGCTGCAACAAATGAGAATAAATGGATGCCCACAGCTGCTTAATGGCTTCTTAATCCTACTTTCCCACACCTCCTCACCCCATCCAGCATGCTCCTTCTCACTTTTACCCTGGATTGTGGTCAAGTTTGAAGACAAAAGACTTCCCCAAGGCTGGGTGGAGCCCCAGGTGTCCTGGTGATGATGCAGTCTGCCTGTCATTTTCATGTAACAGTATGGGCTTTAGACTTGGCCCACCCTGGGTCATTTCCAGAGCAGTCACTGACCAACCAGGTAACCCCAGCAACTTGCTTCTGGTATCTGACCCTGAGTTTCTTCCTCTGTAAACTTGCCCTAGTGACTCCTACCTTGCCAGACCGTTGTGAAAGTTAGAGACATGTATGAAAACAGCAGTCAAAGTGCCTGGCACAATTTAGGCACTCAGGAAATGGCAGCTGCCCCTCTTGCTATGCATTGAGGACTTTTGGGCTCTCTACCCCTGAGTTCCCTAAACAGTTGGAGTTTTCTAGAACCCAGAAACTCAATTCACTTCAGTGGCATCTTGGCAACTAAAAGTGCAGCTTTTCCACTCACTTTGTGGAGACTCTGCTGGGGTGGGGCCAGCTTAGGTTGCTGATTTACAAAGCAAGAGGCTCTCAGCTTGTGTCCTATCTGGATACTGCTCAAAGCTGAAAGAATTCATGTAACTGAAACAATGAGTAGTATCTTTTGCCCACCTTCTAGAAGCCCCTTTCCCTGCCTGTCCCTCAGCCCTGTCATTCATTTCACAGCCACCGGAAATCCCGCCCTTGTTCTGTGTTCACCTAAGCAAATGAAGATTAACTCTTTGCAGTACCAAGGTAGTGCGTTGGGGTGGGGAGGGGTGGGAGACACACTGAACTTCCAGGCTAAGGGGGGAATGAGCCTGGGCCATTGGTTGCTCCCTTGCTGGGCTAGGGAAAGTCACCCAGTCCTTGGCATACCCCTGGGGAGCCTCTTGCCTGAAGCCTTCAGGATTCTAGCAGTCATCTGTTTTACAGTGCAGCTTGCAGTATACTCCCACTCTTCTCTCCCTTTATCCTGGGCACTGCTGATTCCCTGACTGAATTCAGCTTCTTGGCCCATACTTGCAAATAGCCGTTTTAGACAACTGGATGATTATTCCCCACCAGAGCCAAAGAAAACCTGGATTCAGACAGGGTTTGGAAGGACACTATTTCTTTCCTTGAGCTAGCTGGCACTTCCTGCAAAACGGGGGAGAGGGGGTGGTGGTGGTGGTGGTGGTGGTGGTGGTGGTGGTGGTGGTGGTAATCTTACTGACCTGACAGAAATGTGTGGCAAGCCCCCAGTACAGAGATGCTCAACAAATCTTTGCTCTGCAGGTTCTCCCACTTACTAGTTGACTAACCTGGAGGTGACTGACTTCTATGAGCCCCTTCCTGTAAAAGGGGGAGGGGTTAAAATCAGCCTTGTTCCCAAAAGGATTTGAGGCTGCAGTTGGGGTTACCAAGAACTGTCCCACTGACTTCACATGTTACTTTTGAAGATAGAGACCTTGTGAGTACACTGGCAGGCAGAGAAGGACAGCAGGGTGACCTATAGGGAAACACTCTGGATTTGCTGGGAATGGACATGGGGTCTTGTCTAGGATCTGTCACTTGCCACCCCGGTGGCTCTAGACCAGAAAGTCACTCAGTAATCTGAACCTCAGATTCATACCTTGTCTACCTCTGGAGTGGGTATGGGCAAACATGGTTCCTCCAGGGCCAGAAACATGCCTTCTGATCTTCCACAGCCTCAGTGTCTGTCACACTGCCTGAATTATAGAGGCTCCCACTATTTTCTTGTTTGCTGAATGAATTTGGAGCCGCTGAGGGGTCATGCTTCCTACTTTTGTTTGAAGCCTCCTTTGCCTGCAGGGTGATGTTTATGGGTCCCTGGGCCTTTGCCAGAAAGTCATTTGCTAGCTTACCCTGGCCCCAGTGACTTTGCCTGGTACACAGGTGGAAGCAGGGTAAGATTGCCTGGGGACAAAGAAAGAAGGTGCCCTGGCCACTCTTTTGTGTGTGACAGCTGCTCCCTCTGAGACCCAGGAGGCTAGATGAGGCACCCTCCCTTGGTGATCCCTATTAGGGGACTTAGTTATTACAGTGTTTAGCTCTCGAGATAAGTGTGGTCGGCTTTGGGGGTGGCCAACCTTCTAATGTGTGTTCTCTGCCTGTAGCCGATTTGAATATGAGGGATGACTCCCACCTCTCCAGATGTGCCACAGGGCAAGGTAGAGGATTCAGAAGCCCCTGGTGATAGAATGGATGGGAAGAGCATTGAGCTCCTTGGTACAATGAGGAAAGAAAGTGTAAAAGTTCCTGGAGGTGGGAAGAAACCTGATACCACAAGACTTCATACACCATGGGCCACCATGCCAGGTAGCCCTCTGGACTTAAATACACTGGCTGAAGGAGAGTGTCAAAGTGCTAATTCTGCCCTACCTGCCCCCCACCCCCTACCCCAATACACACACACTTTAAAGCAATTTGTGCACCCTAACAAGACAGTTCTTGAGAGAGGTGCCAGTTTACCTTTCAGAGATACCACAGGTCGACTCCTCTCTCTGGTTCATCCAGGAGGCTCTGCTTTTATGGAACCTTTTTCTTTTCATTATTCCGGGATTATCGTTATTATTAACCACTTTTGTTCTCATTAAAATTAGTCGTAACTCCCGCCCTTTGAGACTCTACCTCCTGTTCCCCTCTTCCCCACCTCATTCCTTTTTCTCCACTTTCCGCTTGACATGACCCTAATACTTCAGTAAAAAAATTGTTTCTTCCCTAATGTCCATGCTGCCTTTAGTGCCTCAAGTTACTCCCTTCCCCATCTCCAATATTACTTTCAGACCTCAGGTTGTCACTAACCAAGAATTTTCTGACAGTCCCGTCTTTTTAATTTCTGTAGTACCCTACAATGTCCTTTTGCCTGCAACCACCCCTCTCCCCTGTCCTCCTCTCAAGCTGGCTTAAGTGCATTTTCTATTTCCACAGCACCCTGTGATGCTCCCTTCCCTTTGCCAATGCTCCATCCTCCAAGCTGGGTCACGTTTCCAAAAAATACCTAATACACACTATTTTCATAGTATGCTCTGATGCCCCTTTCAAATCCCCTCAACCTTATTTAAGCATCTCTTGGATTTTCATAGCACCCTATGATGCCCTCTTTCCTGTCCCACTCTCCAAGACAGGTCACATAAGCTTTTCTACATTTTCATGACACCCCATGCTCACTCCCTATTACAGCATTTACCACACTGCCAGTTTACATATTTGTCTCTCTCACATAATCTAGAACATTCTTTAGAGCTGAGCACTGTGTCTGAGGAGTATCCCCAGAACCTAGATTGGTGCCTCACACATAAGTGGTGGTCAATAAATGGACAAGGTGTCCTCGTCATTAAGCTTTTATTTTTTCTATATTCTGCAGTAACTAAGCAAAATCAAGGTAGTTGTCAATTTTCTTTACACAACAGCAGACACAAAGGTTTTCAGAATGGCAAGACATAAAAGAATTCTCCCATCCTTCTCTCACATTTTACTGGTTATTTCAAACTTTTAAGAACAGCCTATTTTAGTGATATAAAATATGTATCAGATCACAGAATATGATGCAAAGACTTCATTTTATAACGTTAGCAAAACTGTTATACTAAATATCAATGACGGAAAAAATATATATCTTCTTCAATGGTATTTTAAAACATACTATGACCTTAATCAACACTGTACTAAAATGAATAAAATTTACAATATTCAAAGTAAACGTTCTGTTTCTCAAACAATTAGCACTGATCACAAATACCAAATACAGTGCCCCACTCCCCATTACATTCAACTAAGGACCCAGATGATCTACTCCTTGGGGTACCTTTGAAGCTCTTTCCAATCCCCCTCAAGGGTGTGCTGCATATTTCCCTAAGGGGCAGAATAACCCCTAGCACCTGAATTGAGGATAGCCTCAACTTCTGCATCATCATCAGAATCCCAATCGTAATTACATGGCCAGTCCTTGGAGCATCGGTTACGCACCCTTGCCACAAAATGCATGACTTTCAGCTTGCTTGATTCCACGTGTGCTCGAGGTCCCCAGAAGAACTCGTACTCCACAGGACTGCTACGGGGCACCGGCTTATAAATCAGGTACCCTCTGCGCACAAACTCTTCTGTAACGACCTTCTTTGGATCTCCAAAGATGCTGTGCTGCCGGCCAGGCTGCATCCCCAACTTTCCCAGCACTTTCCAGACCAGGGCCTCCTTGGCGCTGTTGCCCATGATGAAGATGAGGGCTAATATAGACATCAGGAGACTTTTCTTGGTGCCTTGAAAATTGCTCCTGGCTACCGAGGGCTTCTGCGCTAGAGCAGTGCTCGAGGCTTCCTCGGGAGTGGTGGATGCCTCCTCTGGAGTGCTTGGGTCTTCCTCTGGGCCGCTCAGGTCGTCCTCAGGGGTGCTCGGGACCAAAGAGGCGGCCATCGGGGTCTCGGAGGTTTCTGAGGCCTGTATCTTACGATTGTTGCGGTTCTCTTCTGCAGCCCTTGCGTTACGGCGACGCCGACTCTTTCGTCCCCGTGGCATATCTTCTGCTAGGGGCACGGAGCCTATAGCAATCCTAGGGAAA